ATTTTCATTTTCCCATATTACCATAGTCATTTACACAGTCCAATAATTTAATGCATCCACACTTCTGTTTATACACCTCAGCCTTTTAAGAAGCTATAGTCAATCTCTCCCCTGCTTTTCCTCAAGTCTCTCCTCTCGCTGGCTTTTCACACACCCTATGCCTTAAGCTTTCTCTGGATAGCAGCCCAGGAAGAAACGTTAAATCCCACGGGGAACAGTAACTAGAAGTGGCAGGACTCTATTGCAGTGCTCCAAGCTCAATCTGCAGACAGAAATTGCATGAGTCAAAAACAGAGAAATGCTGAACTACTAGAAAACGTTAGAGGCAGAGGACTGGTGGGAGTCGCCTCTGAAAATTCCATCCTGGACTAAAACTTTTCTGATGTTGACACTGCTTTACTCACCTTTCAGAGGAAATAACAACAGAACAAGGAACACTAACACCCTCTTCTTTTGAGGCTTTTACAGACCTTCCAACTATATCTCGCTGAATGAAAGCAAACTGTTGTAAAGTTCTACCTCCCAACAGTTTAGTAGATCCTAAATCCCAACAATTCAGTAAAAAAGTGAAAGTGACTAAACATGTCATCATAGTATTTCTGCACCAATTTGGGGAAAAAAAAGTCAGGATTCAGACATAAGTAGTGAATTAGATTGGTTAATTGAAGGAACATAAAATAATTCACAGGTGAAGATACTCCACAGGAAAGAGAAGGACATGATGGCATTTTTCTTTCAGGCTGATTCACCTGGGACCACTGAACTGTGTAATTTTAAATTTCACATATTCAAACCAGGGTGACTACCCAGGAAAACTGCAAAGTGATATCTGTATATACAGAAAGATAAATTCAGAAATTAAAGTGGCTTGGGTTTTTCTGTTTTGTTTTTTATATACAAGGACTAATGTGAAGTGTATTCAATAAAGACCGTGGAACCTGGGATCTGCCTCTTCTCCCCTCACAGCTGCACAAGTTGCTCAAATCTGCTTCACAAATTTAGCATGGGGTTTTCATGGCTTTTTGGAGGGAAGAGGGGAGATTTTGAGACTTTTTTTTTTAAACACATGAGATGAATCCAATGTTTTATTGAGTAAAATCACTGGAATTTAACCTTTTCTAGTCTAAGTATACTAACCCAGCAACCTTCCAACTGCGGAGACACAGGTCACAGTGAAATTCCTAGTAAATAGGTGCTTGCCTGTATTTTCAACTGGCATCAGGACTGAACACTATTGGCAGCCATAAAGGGCAGAGATTTTTAAGCCCTTCTGTCTTTGTGTGCCTCTATTAGAAACATTAACTGCAGTACATTAACTACAGTAATGCCTAAGTACTACCTATAGAAAATAAGGTTTATTGCACTACACACTGAACATTAAAATTACATATACGTTAGCAAGTACTGTTGAACAGCTAGAGATCTGTAGAGAAAGTGTCGGTGCCGAAGACCTGAGGTCTGCACAATTCACATGTCACGGCTTCTATTTTCCAGCTGGCTGGCTTTTTTAATTTGGAGTATCTCTAGAGTGGGAGCATTACACACCAAATTATTTCAGATTAAAAAGCTCAGCCTGCTCCACTGCTCAAGAATTAAGATGGTTTGCATTATTGTCCAATTTCCAGCAGCAGAGAAAAAAAGATGTCTTAAAGTGCTTCATGTGCCCAGGATCTGTCCCTGCTGTGTCTAGGACTGAACTGGTGTCCCAGACACAAAGAACACAGTTCCCCAGAAGAGTTACTGTAATCCCATTATAGCATATTGCTTAAACACTTTAATGTAGTGATGTGTTTAATATAACAAAATAGTAATACAGATTTCTATAAAACAGCTTGACAATAATAGCTGGGGCCAAATAAAACCAGCTTCTCTTGCCACTAAAACAGTCAGGCCAGTTTTTTTTCAGCTTTGGCTGGCTTTGAAGGACATTTTTCAAAGGGTTAAAGAAACAAAAAGAAGTATTTCCGTGGCATTCACTTTTCTGCCAAGTTTACCCAGTTTTATTATTTTCCTTTCCAAACAGCAGAACTTGAAAACACACCTCAGGTTCTAATTGCCACAAATTATGGCAAGTTTATACTGCTTTCTCAGCAATAATCATCCAGTGCACTGAATCAGGGTCTGACAGTACATGTGCCACACTATTGACTATAAACAGCTACATGAGGAAACTTAATAATCAACAATTACATTCAAAATCTTCTCAAAAAAAAAAAAAAAAGGAGAGTTACACTATTTCTATGTTAAAATTAAGATAGTGCTACTCTAGCAACCTATTGCAATGCTTACTAGTCAGGATAAAGGATATTGTGTGTCACATGCTATTTTGGGCAAGGAAATTAATCCTTCACATATTTCTAACTTGGTAATCATACCTAGCTCTCAGGCAATTTTATAATGATAAACTGAAGTGAATTCCAAGCAAAATCCTACCAGTGTGACCTGGCAAAATAAGTTTCACCATAAACAACAGGCAAGTGCACACAGGAACAGTATTGTAGTTAACTACCAAGCATTAATACAATAGCTCAGACTGTAATAAATTTCTGGCAAAGTACATTCTGTAACCTAATTTTATACTAGTTTTTGTTACATGCAAAATGTCATTATGGGAAGAGAGGATACACCTTAGTATATAACGTAATGAATAATTATTAGTCCAGATTCAATTACTGCAGAAAAGAAGTGAACATTACTATACATAAAAAAGTTCTCAGTAGTAGTAATAGTTAAAATTCTCATACATACAAGCACACAATGTTATGCTTACCCTTCAACTGCCCCTTTGGATCTCAAACCCAAGGGCGTCTGTTTGTGCCAGGGACATACAGCACCTCATCAGCATCCCAAGTCCAAGTATGACATTGACTGTTTCTTCCTTGCTAATTGACTCAAGACCACTATTATGTGTGATAACACACTTGTTACATCTTCCTCTTTCTTCATCTGTCTTCATGCTCACAGCTACATCTGATTTTACTGTATACAGTGCATTTCACATCTATTATATACTTTTTCTCTTTGTTAGAACAAGTTTTGTCTAGAGCCAGGATTGCATTTCTTCACTTGACCTCTGGGGAGCAGTCTGCAACCCAGGGGTTTCCAGTGCCAGCCCAATCTCGACATCCCAGGTACTCCTCCACACTGCATCCCACACGGCCACCTGAGGCTTCCCTCACCATGTCAGGTCTCTATTCCTCTGCACCATCTCACTAAAGCCATAAATACCCTATTCTATGCAGAATGACTACTTGCCACTGCTGTATATATAAAAAACTGTGTGTATATCATAGGAAAACAAAAAAATACATGTAAAACAAAGTAATCATACTCACCTGGTCATTAACGGATTGCTGTTATAGCTAAACCAAGTGAAAAGAAAGCTCCAGGTGAGTCCAGGAAAACTAAACAATACTGCTAAATCTGTCATGCAGCTGTCACAAGCGTACTCACACCTGTGACCTCTCACCAGCAATGGTAATAGCTGGACTAGAGGTAAGACAGGCAGAATTTCATCCTCCTTTCCCCCAAAATGTAAACACTTGTAAACAAACTAGATTTAGACATTTTTTGCTACCAAAAATAAAAGAAAAACCAAACACAAAACCTACCTGCAAGAACTGAGATAAACATTAATGTCTGTAATGCTATTGTTATTAAAGTTTGTTGTTACTGTGCAGTATCCGTTTGCCATAAAAATCTAGGATTTATACAGCCTTCTCAGTTGCACACCTATGAAACAGTAGGTTTAGATATATTAGAGAATTATTACTTAAATATATAAATATATTACAGGAAAATTGAGAAGTCTTAAACTAAGTTCTAGTTCACATTAGCAGGATCTTGACAAGATGGTCCCTCTCTTCACATTAAATTTTTACTTCACTCTTAAATTATTTAATATTAAAGTCTAAGCAACACCTGCAGAGCTTAATTAGCCTTTTAAATACACATCCAAACTAATGAGGCAAATATGAGTTTGAGAATAGAAGTACATATTGTACACCTCTACCAGTTCTGTTCAACAGTTTAAAGTGATTGTTTTGTTGATTAATGATTCAAAACATCATTACAACTAGTAATGATTTTTCTGTGGAAAAATCATCATTAAGATGATATAAATTTTAACAAGGGAGTTCTGAAATGCCAAACTTACTCTCCCTGATGGGTACGATGACTTCTTCTTAGAAAGGCTGACTACATACTGTACACATCTACGACCACTTCTGTGCTAGGAGCAAACACAAGCTAGAGAAATTATGGTGGTTTTTCATTTCCCCATACCATGCAGTTTCATACCCTAAATTAATGGCAAAATATCTAATCAATACGTTGATCTTCCACAGTTATTGTAAGGCACTAAATTTGGCAGAGTAATCCAGCTGCTGGTCAAAATTCTGATCTAGCTAATCCAGCTATTTAAAAAAAAAGACCATCCAGCTCCTGCATTCCAGTTAATATGCAATTAACGAAGTATTAGAAGCCAGCTAACAGCTTATGCCTTATAGGAATAGTAGTAAAACTAGCTTAAAACAGGTGTCAGATTCTTAGGTTCCATACAAGTTGATTTCGAAATCTGCAGAAATTGAGGGAAAGGGTTCAGCACAGCAATAAACTACTCTAAAAATATTAAAATACCATCTATGCAACATATCCTCATCATTATTAGTAGTTACATAAACACTTTATTACAAAACAGTTCCACCACTACGTAACAGTCTCCAAAAAGTTTTTATTTATCAACCCAAACTAGTAAACATTATAAAAATAAACTGTTATTTAATATTTAGTTATTTTTTATCATGTCGTTTTCTTTCTTGAAACAGAAAACAAATATAGAAAAAAATCATTTTCTACGGATGCCCCACAAAGCATCAATCTCGGCATTTTTTCTACCGTTGCAGAAAAATGAAGCATCTCCAAAATAAGGAAATACAGTCTGGGCAGCCTGTTCTTCCTCCCTTTAAACTGCAATTCTCTGTGTGCACATTTATGGAAACCTAGTAAGGCCTGAACTGAGAAGGATGACTGTCTGGAGGAGGTGGAGGAGGTGGTGGTGGAGGTGGCGGCGGTAAAAATGAGTATGAGTTGTACATGTTTGGGCCTGTCCAAGTCATACCCAGGTTTGAAGGTGGAAGGTGAAACTGATGCACATCATTAACAGAACCAAAAACTGGAGGAGGAAAGGGATACTGTTGCATCATAGGATTTTCTTTTCTATGAGGTTGTGGAAACACTGGAGATTCCTGATGCATTCTGTTGTCTGAAAAGTATAGCTGTGGTGGTCTTCCTTGTTGTCTCAAAAAACCTGGAGGACCTGAGGGAGGAGAAAATGAATCCCTGGAGAACCTTCTGCCACGGTATCCCCTTGAATAACTTGAAGGAGGCTGCTGCATTGACTGATGAAATCCCTTCTTTTCACCTTTGGAAAAAAAACCAACAAACAACAAACCAAAGAAAAAAAAACACATACCACAGTTTTAATATTATTTTGGAAAGATTAAGTTTAGTCCTCACAAATCTTTCAAGTGGAAGCCAAGGAAATTTGAAAAGAAATCTTATCAATAAATAATATTGGCAAATAATACATAAACTAATACTGGCAAGTGTACTGTTTAGTAACTCATCCTGATTTACTAGAGCAATATAGAAAGGATGATCCTGAAGGCTGCAAATTCAGTCATTAAAAAAGAAATTTCACTTTCTTGCCCTACAGGAACTTTCATTCGTACTAATGAATCACAGGAACACTCAAACTGTGAGTATTTTAGAAGCTTTGGTTTAAAGTAAGATTCAAAACCAACAAGATTTAAAACAGCAGAAAGCAATACTGCATTACTCTAAGTAGTATGCAGCTTTCAGACCTGAGTTGATATTACAGCACAGACACAGTATACAAGGTGTTATTCAAACACAAATTAATAAAATTTACTTCCTTGACAAGCAAAAAGGCAGCCTGTACCTTTAGCAAATTAGCCAATTAGCTTTCAGCATTCATCTTTCTAAGATGAATTTTTCCTTGCACAGTTCATTGTAAGCCTACATTTAAGGTTCATAACAAACATGCTGCCATTTCATATAAATGACATGAAAGTATTAATGGAATAAGTGCTATTTAAGAACATCAAAATATTCTGAACATTTCAAAAGTATTAAAAAGGCTATACAATTTAAACTAAAACATTAGTTCAGTCAGTTGAGCGTGGCACTAACAACACTAAGGTCGCGGGTTCAATTCCCATTCGGTCTCCATGTGTTGCCTGATCTAGTCTAGAGGTGGCGTCACTGGCGGCAGGGAGGCTGGATTAAAATGATCTCTAAGGTCCCTTCCAGCCTTGGCCATTCTATGATTATCTCTCAAGGATTTTAAGGCTAGAAGCAAAAAAATACTTAGGAACATAACACCTCAAATAACCACTGAATTTTAAGAACGTATGCGTACTTAATCCTTGGCGCTAGACTACACAGAAACATTTTCACCTCTGAAAAGCTACCTCTGGAAAGGTAGTTGGGTACCAAAATTCCTACACATTTCCCTGGGGAATTAGGACTTTAAACTCCTTTGGTGCATGCAGGCCTCTCAGAAGGCCACTGAACTTGAGAAAGTATTTTTGGTATTTCTTCTCCTATCAAAGACTACAATGATGAGCCATTTTTAATACAGAGTGATTTATGAAGACTCAACCAAGCAAAACTCCAATTGATATTGAGTTTGCTTCTCAATTTGCCAGACATCCTTGCTGTTGAATTCCACAGCCAAACTAAATTGCACACAATGTCAATCTACACTATGTTATTTAAAGAAAACCACATCAAATCATAGCCCATACTCCCTTGACAGATTGAGACAGTTCCAGCCATTGTGTTCTCAGTTACGGAACACGGCTCAGTAACAGCTTGAGCACACCCTACGCAAAGGCAGGTATGCAACAAATTGAAAGAAAAAGGATATGGTAGAAAATATGCCATATGCTAGATAAACAGAAACCAGGAGAGAAAATAACCATCAGCAACGAAGTGATAGTATGATATAATTCAGATCATTCCCTTAAGGGAATACTGTCAAAAAAAACCAGTAAAAGCCAGTGCAAGAAAGATCCTATCTTTATTTAAAGAATAAAAGGGAGGCATGTACTGTACACAGAGCAAAAGGGTTTACAGGACAGGTACTGACTTCTGAGATCAAGAGAAAAAGGGTTCAGTGGGGCACAATGTCTAGCAGCAAACTCAGAGAAGAAGTCAGTGCAAGAAAATCAATGGGAAGAAGCCCTGTGCTGCAGACAGTTGAGGCAACCCGATACGTACGCAGTACAAGAGGAAAAAGCGAGGAGGGGATAAGAGTCAGTAATATTTAAAGGGAGTGGCACAAAAAACATGCAACAGAAGTAGACCAGTGAGAAGAGAGAAAGAGGGATGTGATTTAAATTACTCAACCAAAATGGCCACCAAAAAGCACAAAGTTTTGCACTAGACGGGCATAAGGAACCCAGATAGGAAAATTTGGTTATTATAAACAGAGCACAGCTGCAAGCACATACCTGGAACAGATCTGTCAAAAGCAGGAGAAACAAAGCTGAAGAAGGCTACGTATATTATTAAAAACTATACATAGACTATTAACCTATTACAGGTTTGTTTACCTAATGACTGTTTTGTAAGTAGAGAGGTTCTCAGTGGGCTACAGAAGTAACAAATATTTTAATAGAGTATTTATATGCCATGGGTGAGTCACAGTCCTGTCCCTGTCAAAAAAAATAGGTTCTAAAAATTACACATGGCCTTCCTCTGTCTTCTCCCTGTACTCGGGCCCCAATAAGCCCTGCAAAATGCAAGCTCGAAACTCCAAAAGGTGGCATCTGCTCTGTATCCTTAATGTGTGTCAGGCAAAATCATTGTAAGAGCCTTTGAATCTCCTCTGACAACTGTCCTGTTCCTGTACTACTTCCCTTCCATAGCTTAATGGAAAAAACCAAACTTTTTTTTTAAAAAAAGGAACATACCCACAAATTCACAAATATAACTTTGAAAAGCACAGAAATACAGATTAATGGTATGAAAGTTCAATCATTAGGATAGGTATCATTGTGCTAATGATCAATATCATTATCCTAAACACAGTTTAAGAGATAAAAACATTCTCCCACAGCATTCACTCACTTGATGCATTTGTTTCTGATTTGAGTTTCTTTCTTCCTTGACTTTGAGGCTTCTTTTTCTTCTGTTTTGCCTCCCTTTCTTTTTCATCATCACTGAAATCCAATGCCTGGTACGAGGGGGGCAGGAGGGCAAGAGAACAGAGCCATATAAAGACTGCAGAGAATTTTGTTTCTAGCAATATATCTTTATTTAGAAAATAATCCATCCTACAGACAGCTTCGAAGAATATTAAAGATGCACTTTCCTATTTTGCATTCAAAGAGCCATCGTGTGCTCAGTTGCATTCTCAACACAATAAGAAACTTAAAACACTCCACAGATTTCTCATAAGATAATTATACAATACTGAGTTATTCTTTCTAATTTCCTAAAACCAGCAGCATTCAAGTACTGAACACTAGTTTTTGATTGCCTAGATATTACGAAGTAAAAAAAAAGGGGGAATCACTGAGGAAACTGGCTAGTTATTGCCATGAAAAAGCTTTTGAAGGGCAACTCCAGACTAGATGAATGAAAATATGGACTTTTAAAATAAGTTAAAATTAATTTGGTGGCCAATACTTAGCACAGTTAAACTACACTAGAAAATATCTCCAGTCTAATATTGTCATTAAATTGAAAATTTCTGTACTATATTTAATAACACTGTTCCCATTAAACTTGAATAACACTGCTATTGTCAAAGGAATTTTCAGCTTTGCAGAATTTACAACAGACTCAATGTCACTGTAATATTTTGTTCCTGTTATACAAGGTTTTGCTACCTTTCAAATCCTACCTTACACTTAGAATGAGGAAAAGTTATTAGGAAGGAAATCTGTCAGCTTAATTAGTTCCCTGAAAAAAAGCTTGCTCGTATGACTTAAAGGCATATGGTTTGTTTCCACTTCCCCAATTCTGAAAGGAAGGGTTATGCTGCACTAAAACAGCACTAAAAAAAAACCCATAAAGGTTGATTCTGAATACAGCTACTTCCTCTTCTCCATAATTGGATTACAATCTTACTCACAAAAAGCCACAAGGAATACTACAAGATCATATATACCATGAAGCAAAATCTTTCACCAGCTCTTGCTTTTTCTAAGGACTTCCATATACCACCTAAAGCAGAGCAGAAATAACAAACAGATCCTTTTTATTGCTACCATGTAACATTCTGTAAGAGCTATCTCACAGAGAAATCAGTGTTATCTGCTCCTGCTAGCCTTGCAGCATGAAGAACACACTTCTTTGTCATCCTATGACCCCAAAGTCAAGGCCAAGAGAGGTTGTATTACTGAGTCATCAGTTAGGCTGGGCTCATTACAAGCCTGTTGGAAAAGGAACGCTTACCATACACCCTAAAGCAGCAAGTATAAAAGGCCTAACGTGGATTAATTCAGCATTCATACAAAAATAGAGCTTCACAGTATCACAAAGAGAACTGACACCAGCAACTGCACGCAGTTTACTGTGGAAGCTGGCAAGAAAACTTATAGAAGCAGCTGCCAGATGAGGACTCTCAAAGAGTTTGGCTGCAAGAGACAATTTCAAGCATCAGTAGCATAAAATTTAATCTGCACCCTTGTCAACAGCTATTATCTTCACAGCAAAAGCTGCTTTTTATCAGCTCATCAGCTGCCACAGTTTGGATATCTTAGTGTAAACTCTACCTGCTAGAACTATCCAAAGACTGATCTAATTAAGGATTACAAGATGTTAGATGTGGTATCTTCTCCAAAACAGAGCACACACAGACATACCACGAAGTCAGAACAGCCATGGAAACAAAGGTGTCCTAAAAAGCAATCAAGTTTACCCATCCTTGCCATCATTGACTTTGTTCAAGCTTCCTTCCTTCCTATAGTGAAGTACAGTAAATCTAAAGTTCCCCCTGCACTTTATGATTCTAACCTAAAGGTAACAGTATCATAACTAAAATTAAGAAAAATTTTAAAAGAACCATCTTTTGAGAAAGCAATAAATCTGTATCTGCAGAAGATGTGACTGCTTGATTGTATTTAGCCAAATTTTAGTTACTTGGGTTCCTACCAAGTTATGCATTTACAAGCTTATCTTCTGAAGAGCTTTAAAAATAGGACTAGAGAAACAAAAACAGCTCACCATTAGCCCATAAGCACACTTTGTATCATCATCACTAGAAAATTGTTTGACAGAAGAAAGCTAAGACCAGCCAAAAGTTTCTAAGTATAGAAAGTCTTTCTGTGTGCGTGTGTATATATACATATATATACATACACAGTCTTTCGAAGCTCTATTGATCACATACCTACAGTCTAATTCTATGCAACACTTGTAATTCTCAGATGATGATTCTCTGTGAGATGGTATGTCCGTGAGAAAGGAAGGCAATTTACAGTCAGAACTGACAGACAAGCATTCTTTGAGAGAAGTTAACACTATTCAGCTTGGCTCCCTTTGTGGGAAGAAAGAAATTAAAAAATAAGTGTATTTCAAAATGCACCAAGCTCATCATAGTGGAAAAAGCAACATTATGGGTTGACAGACTGACTATAGGATGTATCTATTAGCACAGAAAAGCCCATATCACACCATCTTTCCTTCAAGCCAGAACAACTGGCCTGGGATTACCGAATAGAAAAATTTATTTTGTCCCTCACAGTATCCTTCTGGACAAGTTGGCCAAATGTGGGATGAGCAGGTTCATGGTGTGCTGGGTGAAAACTGGCTGAAGAGCAAAGCTCAGAGGGTTGTAGGGAATGAGGCTACCTCTGGCTGGCAACCAGTCACCAGCAGTGTTTCTCAGGGTTCAATTCTAAGGCCTGTTCTGTTCAATACATTTATCGATGTTTTGGATGCAGTAGAATGCACCATCACTGTGCTGATGATACCAAACTGGGAGGTGCTGTTGACTCTCTAGAGTGACAAGAGGCCTTACAGAAGGATCTAGATAGCTTGGAGCACTGAGCAACAATGAATGGGATGAAATTTAACAAGTCAAAATGCCAGATTCTGCACCTAGGATGGAGTGATGCTGGGCACAAGTAAAAATGGGAAGAGGTGTGGCTGGAGACCATCCCAGTAGAAAGGGGTCTTGAGGTGCTGGTCAGCAGCAGCTCAGTACGAAGCAGTTGTGTGCCCTGGCAGCCCAGAGGGCAACCTGCACTCTGGGGCGCATCAATTCCAGCACACAACCAGTCAAAAGAGGTGACTGTCCCACTGCGCTCAGCATTGGTGCAGCCTCACCTTGAGCACTGTGTGCAGTTATGGGCTCCAGTATTTAAGAATGCGAAGATCCTTGACTGCGTTCAGAGGAGGGCAACGAAGCTGGGTAGGAATGTCCTACGAAAAGAGTGGCTGAGGACTTTGGGTTTGTGTAGCTTGGAGAGAAAGAGGCTGAAGGGTGACCTCATTGCTCTCTGTAGCTTCCTGAGGAGGGGGAGAGGGAGGTGCTGATCTCTTCTCCCTGGTACTCAGCGGTAGGACTCGTGGGAATGATTCAAAGCTGTGCCAGAGTACATTTAGACTGGGCATTAGGAAGCATTTCTCTGCTGAAAGGATAGTCAAACACTGGAACAGTCTTCCCCTAGAGGTGGTTGATGCCCCAAGCCTGTCAGTGTTTAATAGGCATTTGAACATTGACCTTAATAATATGCTTTAGCTCACAGATAGCCCTGAATTGTTCAGGCAGTTGGACTAGAGGATTGTTGTAGGTCCCTTCCAACTGCAACAGTCTATTCTAAAAATTGGTTAGAACACTGTAAAAACAAAAACAAAAACACAAACCAACCCACAAAAATTACCTTTCTTCCTCAATTAAAGAGTAAGAAGCACATACCTCATAGCACAGAACTATGCTAACCATGCAAGCTTTTGGAAGATTCAAAACAAACAGAGATCTCTTTAGGATAGCATGGTAGACACAAGGCTTCTGAGGAATTTCATCTATTTTGGAAAAGGTATTCTTAAAGTAGAAATTGCAATGAAACGTGACTCAAGCACTGAGTTGGAAAATTAATCTCATTAGAACACATCAATGAAATTACCAGCCTCTGAATTATTACTGAAGAAGATAACAGTCGTGAAAAGCATAGTTAGAGTAAAGGAGCACTGGACAGGAAGCCTGGATGTCATTGAAGAAATCTTTACAGATCCTGCAGTACATGTCAATGGTTTTGAGGAGCTCTCACTTCCTCACAATCCTCAGTGACTGTCTTGTATGGAAGAAGTTCATCTCCTCTCACAAAATTAGTGTTTTATAATAGGAAAGTTTTTAGCAAGGACAAAACCTGCACAGCAGAAACAAAACTATCGAGCATGGTAAGAGCACTGCTACCCAAAGTTGAATGTTCAGGTTGCCAAACATGTTCTTGAAGGACAAGAGAAACTGAAGATAAAAAGACACATTTTCTCAATTGCAAAAAGCAAGCAGAAAAAGACAGCTGGTACTCTGTACATCAACCATGCTTTCTTCAAGAAAAGTATGATCTTTTCAATAAGAAAGAGGTAAATCCAACTCTTGTCTACACAAAAAATAAGCTTGCTCATTAGCTACTCTGCACATAAACTTTGGTACATACAGCTCCTTTAATCAAAAATGATAAACAAAAAAAAAAAAAAAAACCATAGTTACTTCAGGTGGTGGTTCTTGGTCATTCTTCCAAGACGCATCTGAGCCTTTTTCCCTAAAAGATAAAAAACACACCACATGTTAGGCAATCAAGATGAAGGAAGATGGTGTGAGGAGGCTAGAAACATCTCATTCGAGTCACATAGCACCACATTCCAGGTTCAAAATATTTTGCAAGAACTGTACTGTAGCAAATAGGGTAACACTTTGTCCAAGGTATCAGACCTCCTGCACCAGGAGCTGCCTGTTTTAGAAGTGCCATTTGCTTCTTAATGTTGTCTCTAAGTGAATAGTAACACACGTGTCAACTTTGCACTTCACGGCATATACTGCCTGAAAAATCTTCCTACTTTGAGTAAGCTAATATTAACCTTTCATCAATATTTTCTCAATACACCCTTTTGAACCTAAAATGCTCTGAACTTGAACTGAGATAGTGAACTATAACTTTCCTATGCTGGACAACAGCCACAAGCTTCCTTACTTGTCTGGTTTCAGAACACGTATGTCCAATTAAAAAGGACAATGAACTAGTTCAGTAAAGTGGTGAGACACTGGAACAAGTTTCCCAAAGAGGTTGTGTAGCCTCATCCCTTCCAGTGTCCAAGGCTGAGTTGGATGAGGCTTTGAGCAACCTGGTCTAGTGAAAAGCGTCCCTTACCATGGCAGGAGGGGTTGGAACTAGATGGTCTTTAAGGTCCCTTTCAACCCAAACCATTCTATGATTCTACGATACATGCTCCAAGTATAATGATAGTAAAGCGAATTTGGAACAAAAACCATCTAAGGTTGGCTTAAAAGTCTATTAAGACAGTGTTAGCTAGGTAATTAGATTTGATCTTCAACTTTTTTTAAATATAAAATTAAAAAGCACAATGAAAGTCATTTAAGGAAGCGAGAACTCAATTGTCTTGCCTGACAGGCACCAAAATTAATTTGAAGTGGTATAATTTATTTCACCCATCAGTAAGAACTTCACTAAAAATCAAGTCTTTTCTCTGACTAGCAGTAAATTTGTGGAACAGATTTAAATTATGCTGTTAAAAGTCTGCTCAGAAATTTAGCATGGTTCGGTTTGAAATGTCAAGACTCAATCTTTACCTATGCAAACAAACTATGTAAAATAGTACAATACCGAAAAATTACTTGCAAAATGGAACCACAGAGTTAAAACCATTAACGTGTTCAGTATGAAATGTCTCCAATCAGTGCTCTAACAACCAAAGATTTTTTAATTTATTCAAGTCAGCAAGAATCAGGCAGCAGTAACTACATCAAAGTATACAGACATCAGCTCTAGATAGCCTGGACTTAAGAGGTTCCTTAGTCAAAGGGTGCCCATGAGAATGTTGGCAGATCATATGGAGGTACTTTGGGCCTCAACCCATAACCCTGAAACTGAAGCTCAATCTCTAAATATCACTAGGAAACCATAAAGATACATCATTTCTGTGATTATGAGCAAATCATTAGCAAGTAAGACATTTCAAAGTTTAATTAGAAGAAAATGTTACAGGGAGGAAAGGAAGATAAGGGCTCTACATGAGTAACTTCCCTGCTATAGAAAACTATGCAGAGATGAAAATAACAACTTTTTTTTTTAACTGTGTGTGAACCAACTTCCTTGTTTCTCCTTCTCATCTTGTTATTTTGGGGCAATACATGCCTACCAGAAATACCAGAGTATGCATGAAACTCCAAGATCTGTGACCATTAGGCACTGACTGCAAAATTTTAACCTTGTAAATTCTCCAGGTAGCTTATCTCACCCTCCAAGGGCAGTCTTCCCCATTTCAAAAACACAAAACACTTCTATGCTTTGAAATACTTAATCTTCTGCAAAGAACAAGGTAATAATTCTTTGCTTTCTGAACTCAGATATTATAAGACCTAGAAGTCTAACAAAAGGTGGCTCAGAGGAATCATGAAAATACATGAGCTTCTTTAGAATTACTTTGTGTTTTAGGAAATATAACACAAATCTATTCCTAGTATCAAGTTATAGATCATAGATCACAGAATGGCCTAGGCTGGAAGGGACCTTAGAGATCATTTAATCCAACCTCCCTGTCATGGCCAGGGATGCCTCTCAACTAGATCAGGCAAGTTATTTTGCATTCAAGAAGTTTTACACTACATTTTCATGTATTTTGCTCTAAAGCGTAAGGGTTATTCATAGCACAGCAACTTTGTACAATGCAAGCAGATTGCATTTCTGATTTCAGAAAAAGCTTCAAATTTAAGGTTTCTTTCACATCTCCATCCTGATTCTGTTCCTTCTAGAAAGCATCATCACAGTTTTGAATAGCAGTTCTAAAACTTCAAGCCTGTAACACTCCACAAACTGGTCTGCACAGAGTCAAATTAACAAAAAACCGAGTAAATAATTGGTCATCAAATTTGCAAACTCCAAAGGTCCAAACACCTTCTTGCGAAGCACAGACCGAAGCTCAACTTTTCTACTATTCATGACATCTTTGTCTCTTTATATAGACATTACAGCATAGATCAGAAGTCAAAGTTCTTCATCCTTTCTCAGTGACACCTAATTTGTGAAAAGGCAGCTTCAACAAATAGTACCGATTGCTTCACAAATACTTAAGAAACTTTACTGACAAAACTCAGAAAGAAAATATTGTTTCAGTGAAATGTAACAAGTCACATTACTCAGAAATTAAGATTTACATCAGATTATACGGGTGTTCACTCTGGTCATTTTAGTGAAGAGCAAAAACCAATGTCTAATGCACTGTTCAGCCGTGCTGAACAGCAATGAAAGTGTGAAACATCTCACCTGGAGTTCAATTTTGTACCATATATGACAGTAAAGCACTACCACAAGACAAATAGTTCCCAAAACCATTCTCAAAGCATGTAACAAACTAAAACACGAGTCTAACCTCTCACGTGCTGAGTAGGGCACAGTTATTGATGTAGCAAGCACATGATTAAAGTCTGTGCAGTTACTGTGCTAAGCAACAAAATTTAATGGCACAAATCAAAGACCAGCTGGCATCAAAATGCTGCCGAAAAACAAACAAGCAGCAGTGACAAAGTGATCTATTTTGGTCTTCACTGAAAGGAAGAAAAATATGCTACTTGCTTCCACAGAAATGGGGAAGGAAGGAGAGAGAAGGAAAAAAAAGACAGACAACTCCTACAGGCCTGGCTATACGTGTGTTGCCTTGAGGATGGCAGAACAATTTATACTGCCTTAAGTGCAGTAAGTCAGTCCTTCAAAGAATGCTGTCTTGAAGATGGGAAAGGGCGATGGAAGAAATCTTCAAGCCAGTTAGTAGAAAAGATAGTAACATAGTGTATACTTAGAGATATTAAGCAGACCGTTGTTTAGAAAGTTTTAACAAGCTGTTTGTCCTTGGGACTGTTTGGAAGCAGACCAAAGCAGGAATCTCTTAGTCAAAATCCTCATTATGGAGATCAGACGGTACAAAAACATTACGAATTGTTTGTGAAAGGCTGAAAGTCAGCCGAAGTTAAACATGGCATTGGGAGATCACGACCACGACTCAATTTAGGCTGCCAAAAAACTCACACCACCCCGCCCCGACACTTGCAAGAAGCATGTGTGCTAATTTACATGAGAAGCAAGGCTAATTTTAATATACTTAATATGAAGTAGTTATCATTAACCAGTAATAGTAAAATTAGGCATGTTTATACTAATCAAGTTAAAATATAAAGATGATGCAGTTTTTCCATGTGGTATGCTAGTTTCATCTAGCATCCAGACTTGGCCAACTATGCTAACAAACCAACGTTGGCCTTCTAAACTATCATTTGGTTTAGAAAGGTTTCTTGGTTACTATTTTTGGTAACACATGGATGACTATAAAAAGATTATTCACTATGAATACTGGTAGAGTTGCAACTAATATCAACACCAATATTACTGACTACAGTCAGAAAAAATGTGCAAGTCCAAGGATAACTAAACCTAACAGAGATTAGGTTGCTTGCATGGCAAGCTATTAATCAATAATGGCAGCTATTCATCAATAATTATAACACTAATACCTAGTACTCATTTGTTGTGCTTTATTTCTTATTCTATATCTTTGAGTACATTTTCTTTTAAAGAGCAACAAATTCTATTCATTCATGCTACTTTCCTCAGACAGACAGGGATACACAAACACTACTCAGAAGGTTCTGAACATCCTACCACATTGCTCAACTCAACTGCCTCCTGCCTCTCAAACTGTGTGTGTATGTGAGAGGGTGTGAGGGAGGAAAGTATCAGTGATTTTTTTCTGATTATGATATTTTAGGCAACACAGCAACATGAAAAGAAAGCAAGCTTAATAAGTTAAATTGAATAAGAAGATACTACGCTTTAGTAATTATAACACTTTAGAAGCTTGTAGTTTACAGCTACTCTGTACTCTTCCGAAAGGTAAAACAGTAAAACTTTGTTAGTACAGCACAGCTGAGTATCTAAATCAAGAAAAGTTTAAGTATTGAGCTTAGTCCTACAATTTCTCACTCAAGACTAAATTTTAACCTTTCGGTTTTAGCTATATTAAAAAATTCATGACAGGCAGATTAGAAAAGAAATCAGACTCACTGTTTTAGTTTCTCTGCAAATATATACTGGGTGAAGTCCTCCACTGATGGAGCAAAATACATGCTATCTTGCACTTTTACACCTTTTGCTTTGATATGCTCAGAGCTGTTAAATCTTAACACATAAAAGGGATGTAAAACAGGACCAAATACCTCGAATATCTGCAACACAAACAAAATTAAAATGTTTAAATAAACCAGCAAGAGCAGATAGCTAATTTCACTGTAACAACTGCGAAGCTTTAAAATGCTTTATTTTTAAGAAGTCTGACATATTTTCAAAATGCAGCAAATAAAGCTACTTTCATGCTTTAGTTTTATTACCACATTTTGTTTGACAGTATATTTCCCCAGCTACTGTTTAAGTTATTATACGCAAAAGTAAATTCCTACATGTTGATGTTGCTTTTGCCCACCCAATCGCATTGCTTTCATTACCGGCTTCCTCTACTCTAGTCATCCTGCCTTTGCCAAACCTCTGTTCTTCTCTCTACATTATGCTTTCACATCTCTCACACCTGGAACAATCTCCTGATGATTTATTCCTCTAAGTTCATCTTTACAAGATACCTTTATGTCAGTTCCCCAGTTCCATGGAGAGCAGAGAATTTTGAGATGATGTACAGAACATCTGCAATATCAGGCTGAGATTTTTCTGTTTCACTCACATCTAGCATTCAAAGTTATTATAGTAGTAACCACTCTGAATAATGGCTTTCCTTCCCTAGAAAACAGAAAATTCAATGCAACACTCCTCTCGGCAGCCATTCTGCATTTTACTTGCATAAGGCACACACTGGCCTGAAACTGAAACAGCAGAGCATGGATGTGTAGACATTCCCCATTTTTCCTGCAACTTGACTCTAACTTCTCCCATATTTTCCCTCAACTCCTAGCAACAGAAGAGCACAGCCTGTTATTCAAGACATCATACACCTGAAAGCAACCTCTCCCTCTTCTCAAGCACTCGCATAAAATATCACAAACCCACTAGGCATTGCAATTTTGTAAGGATGCAAGGAATTTCAGGTTAGGAATTCTTGATATTGAAAAAAATCATGGCTACAACAAGAGTCAGAAGAGCACCAAATTAAAACTAAATACCAAGGAACCATTATCTTCCATTTAGTTGATTTTAACACTGTTTGTAGGAACATAAAAAATTGAATTTTATATTAGGATAACAGTTTTAAGCTTTACACACACCTTTCCTGCTGCTTGCCGATCTTCTTTAAAGATTATGCTGTCTTCATTTACTGGAGGTAGGCCTCTCAGTGATTCAATTATTACTAAAATGGAAAAAAAAATCTATTAGAATTTTACGGTTCAACAGTAGCATGCAGTTAACTGCAAAGAAACTTAAACCACACCATTGTTTGTCTAGTAAAGTTCACAGAGCTTCAACTGAAAATTCTTGTGTATGCACAAAACTACTTACAACTGTACATCCCTCCCCCAGTGACACGGGTGTCAAGTTTTACATTTGTTTAAAAAATTATTATTCTCTCAGTGAAGAAAGAAAGTAGACCAGATGATAGGCACAAAGGACAATTCTCAGATATGTATGTTTGAGAGATCAGTTGTATTTACCTGGGATGTTTCTCAACTAAGTGCACCACAGCAATAATCTATTTTTTTAGCATTCCAAATGAAATTCTCCTTGGAAAAAAAGCATGTAGATGGCTATTCATTATAGCTTACCCTAATAAGTCATAAGAATCAGAACAGAACATAAAAGACGTCTGGCAGTCCAGTCACAATAACAACTGGTGGTATCACTGATGTATGCAGATACACAATTTGAAACACATTTCTCCAATTTAGTCATGTAATAGTCTCATATTACATGCAGGCCTAACCTATGATTAATGGTGGTATGAGTGGTCAGAGCAAGCAAGATATTCAAGTAGCTCAAACTACTCAAGTTTAACACTTAGTAGACTTAAACACTTTTAAATGGATACAAAAGCATGTTCTTCCTCTATTAAACATATAATTTGATATGCAGTCTACTTAATTTTTAGGTTTTCCAGATTCAGAGACAAAAAGAGCTTATTCTTTACTGAAATATTTATAGCTCCCATTTGTTGTTAGTCTACAATACATTCTATATGTTCAGTTTCAGCAGGTATTACATTTATAGCTGTCAATGCAGAGGTCTAGTAGCATTAGGCTTAAAAAAATCAACTCTAAACGCAATCTTTTCTACCTCTAAAAGAAGAGAATGCTCAATTAAGCGTTCTCAATGCCTCTCCATCATCAAATAAAGTCACTCAAGCACATACTGTCATTCAAGACTCCAATAAAAATGAACAGGATTATCACTGCTAAACTTACATAACAAGTCTTATAGCAATAAACGTCTCATCAAGCCAAAACTCAAGCTTTGCTACTATTTTGACCTGCAAACACTCTGAAATGCCAAGTAAGCCTGTTACAATGCTACAGGGCTTAACAGTTCACTGAATTTCAAGAACATTAGGGAAATCAGTTCAATTTGTGCCTACCTGTAAGATAAAATATACAGTTAAAGAACCCAAATGGCCAACATCAAAAAACCTCCAGCAGAACACAACAATAAAAAAAAAATAATTAAAAAAAATCACACACCAAAACCTCTCAGAAAACGCTTTCAACACCACTGATCCCGCATAGCTCTCAGTCTTCCAGTAGGTAAGGAAAATAAGCTGGAAACGTGAACCATGCCTGATCCTTGAAAGCCACAAGAAACATTATCATCTATTTGCTTCCCATATCCCAACCCTCTCAAAACCCTCAGCTTGTACTCTTCCAGGGCAGGTTTCTCTTACACAATAAAGCTGTTTACCTTCCAGGCTATAACCAACACAGTGAACTTGTCTTTAAGTACCTCGAAGCCAAACACAGCAGAAGTTCTGTTAAATTATAATACACTGAGCAGATGTTCACAGGAACTACTGACATCGTGCTTTTAGCTAGTGTGAAGCAAGCATGAACTTGCAATGTTCTAGCCTTAAATTCACCTCATAACATGAAATAACCAACTTACAGGTATCCAACACTGCAGACTGATGAACTTTGAAGCTTGCTACAGCAACAAGCAGATTTTTGATGCATCAAGGAGACAGAAAGTATCCATAACACCGACTGTTGTGCCAAAATAATCTCTGTGATTTCCAAATAAGACCAGGTGCCCCTGCGCTAAATACAAACCTGGTACACACAAGTGTCAAGAACCAACCCAGAATTAGCTGGCAGAGTCCTTAACAGGGTCACAAATCAATTGCAATTGGGCCACTCAGATATGTTTCCAGAAAAAGTGAAAAGAAATGAAAAAGTGTAGAAAAAGGAAGTCATAAAGCAAGGTAGTAAAAGAAAAAATATACCGGGGGTTGATTCCATTCCTATGGTGTTATTTCATGTATAATTATTAGTCTGTTTCCTAATTTCCAAACCAATCTAAGTTCAACACTTTGTGTACTTCAGTCACATAAAGCAGGGCGCAGACTGAAGAATTCACTTACCAATAAACTGAGAGCGTTTGAAAGTTTTATACAAACCAAGGAGGATTAGAAGTTAAGGACTGTTTTCAAAATTGAAGCCCAGTTCAGCTTTGTTTAAACATTCACATATTAGATCAATAATAACAGCAAACTATGATTCAACCATTTCTCTTTTAACTTATATTCAAACTATCGGTCTGGCTGAAAAAAGTCTTAAGTCTCCATTACTACCAGTACATAAGAACAAGCAAAATACAACAAAAGGATGATGACCAGATTACTACCTTCGACACTCTCAAGACAGCTTCCCGCACACAAACAAAATTAAGTGTAACTTCAAACCATCAAGAATACTGCAAAGGTATTATCTTTAACACTTGAAACGTTTTACAATAAAAGAAAAATTAATAACAAAGGCTATTTACTTTAATTCTTTCATACCCTTTAATATAAATACCTTCAAAATTAAACTTAATTTCTAATTTCCATATGCAAATTGCTTTGAAAGCAGTTCAAGCAGAATGGAATACTTGAAATAAGCTGGAATACATAAACACTATAGATGTTTTACTAATAACAGTTTCAGCAAAACTTTGATTTCATGTATCAAAAATTGAGGTCCCAGGTACGTTTGAAAAGATCCCTACAACCATATTGCCTGCAGCTGAGTTTACATCCACTGTATGGTTCAATCCTATTAAGCTTACCCTTCAGCACCTATAAATCACACTGGCCATGCAGTCCTATGACTGGCAGCTTGCATTTGGTCAAGGTGCGAGAAGTGGGAAGAACTAAACACCAAAGAAATAAACAAAAAACAACATCTAAAAAAGCAACCACCTGCACTGCTAAAGAAACAAATCTTTTTTCTGTTCTCATACATTAAGCAAGCACTTGGGACTGCACTGTATTGCATACAATGGGGATGAAGTTCAATAAGACCAAGTGCAGGG